GATGGTGTTCCCAAGCAATGGGAAAGAGAAAAGATGAAGAAGAGAGGCTAAGTTCCGTTTTACATTGTAAATCTATAGCTCTTTTCTTCAATGAGTGGCTGGCCATTCTTAAATCCTACTCTTCTGTGCTAAAGAATGTAGCATCTCTGTCCCTGGAGATATAAAGAACTTCGCTCTTTGCCCAAAATACCTCTCTTTCCCGAAGCAATTTCCCCTCCTCTGAGAAATGCTGTTGTGTCAGGCTGCACTGCCCTTGAACCAGACAACTTTCTCTGCTTATCTTTATCTGTCTAAATAAAGCTAACCTACATTTGCTGTCTAATTCATTCGGATGCTTGGTGAGGCTATTTAAAGCAGCCCTCAAGGCCCCGAGGAAAACAAGATGCATTATCTTTAGTAGGGAACCTTTAAGTTTGCTGGTCATTTAAGGAATTAAAGAATCTTAAAATCCATTCAGTTTTCTCTGGTTGGGACATGAAAAACAAAGGAACGCTTCTAGTTTTTTTTTTAATTATAGGCAGTTTTCATTGACTTGTACATAGCTGGGATGAGTTGCCAGAAAAAGAGAGAGTTGGAAAGTGTGTGTGTGTGGTGTGTTTCTCCTTGTCTCCAAAGTTCATGAAATCCAACTGCTTTGTAGATTAATCCTTTTTTTTTTTGATCTTTTGGAGGCAGGGTCTCCCTGCAGCCCCAGCTGACGTGGATTCACTTTGGAGATTAGGCTGGCCTCAAACTCACAGAGATCCACCTGCCTCTGCCTCCCAAGTGCTGGGATTAAAGGCATGCACCACCACACCTGGCTAGGTTAAACTATTTTTTTTTTTTTCATTCTGGTCTCTGATGATCAGTTAGCCCACTGTGAGTTTATTTACCTCTTTGGGAAAAAACTGTGAAAGTTTAAAGACAGCTGTCACCTCAGGAAATGGAATTTAGGAGAATTTTTAATTTTTTGCTATTACTCCCTTTTCAGCCTCCACAGGCCATTTTGTTAGAGAATCCTGGCTCTTCCACGTTTCAGAAAAGCAAAGGAAATTATACAGGGAGAGTTGCAGAATATTGGGGTTGTAAATAGGACTCCTCTGTGAATTCATCTAGGACTGGGTGTTCAGAGGCTTCAAGTCTGCTGTTTGTTTCTTCAGATCCAGTATTTATGAGGTCTGTTGGCTTGCCTGGTGGGGGGCGAGCCTGTACAATGGGATTGTCTTAACCATTAGTGCCCCGCTGCTACCTTCTGCACAAGCTTATTATCAGCATCCACTTGTTCAGCCAGGATTCTGTGACGTCCATTGCAGAGAATGAGTCAGAAGCCACAAGCTAACAGGTCTATTCCTTCCCACCGTCACCTAGGAAACCAACTCATCATCCACAGGAAATGCAGGCCCCGATGGGGAGTATGCCCAGATCTGGTTAGAAAACTGGTGATGAGGTTTTCAAAAGAGGTCAAATAATAATGCACAGAATCTTGGTCTAAGGTGGGAGGTAGATCCAGCCTCAGAAACTTGAATCAAGGACTGTCCAGAGGAAACAGCAAGAGAAATGAATCAGCTAAAAGCATGTAAAATGTCTGCAGTATATGAACTTGGCCGAGGGCAAGAGATAGACAAGATTTCATGCCCTCCAGCAAACAGAGCTTTTTGCCTAGTACCTTGAGGGTCTTTTGGGGTGGGTATGGTTGTACAGTTTGTGAAATAAGAGGAAATTGACAATGCATCAAACCAGGCATTCTGCATATTGAAATCCCCCTACACTATCCCTTGGGTCGAAAAGTGCTGGGCAGCACCTTTCCAGGAGACACACTCTGATTTCCCCCATGCCTGCTGCTTTGTTGTCAATAGCTGATGGTGTGTTTTTATTGACCTTGCTGCCCATAACCCATTGTCCCTGATGTATACATCTAGTTTATCACACAGTATCCAGACATCTGTGGATAGCTTAATATGGCTGAGAAAAACTACCTGTACAGTTCCATATTCTTTGATAAGTTTATGATTTCTGGGCAGATGAGTGAGTGAGAGACACTAGTCAAATAATGTCTCATTGTACATTCAAAGGATTATTGAATTAGAAAAAAAAAACACCTCAGTAATCAAGTGGTCCAAACACCTCATTTTTTACCAAGAGATGAATCCGAGAGGTGAGATGACATGTCTAAGGTCACATAGTGAAGTAGTGTGTACAGTAGTGGCAAGGGATCTCTCCTTGAGGTAGGGAGAAGAGGTAGAAGGCTGGATCACAATCTCAGATTAATACCAGGTGGTATATCCTCCTCCAAGACTGTTAAATTAGTAAGCTGCTGTGATGGATGTATGAATCCTGACTGAGGGGCAATTGGTCTGGCATGTGCTAGTCAGTGCATGACAAGAGTATGATGTTCATCCTGAGTACCAGTTGAATAGGGAGCAGTGACAACCCTGAGCATATCTAGTGGAGGACTGATCAATGATAAAGGTTTGAGTCCCTGCAATCTTAGAAGAACAGTTCAAGGACAAAAGATTATTTAATCTGGAGACCAGAGAGTCTGTGATGAGAGAGCTAGGAGATATTGTCAAATAGTTGAAGGGCTGTCTTGAAGAGGGCTTAGATTTATTTTGTGCACCTGAGGAAGACAGAAATTAATACAAGTTAGAGGGTGTATAAGTAATTTTCATATAAGTAATTTTCTAATAACTCAACCTGATGAAGTGTATTAAACTACACTTGATCTTAGCCAAAAGGTCAAGAAGCGCTACCTTGGCGACCAAGTCTCTTATGCTCAGGGACCACAGAACTAAACTATAGCAACCCCTAGTGACTATTAATGTTGAAATTCCTTGTTTTTAAATTTATTTGTTTTGTGTTTTATGAGTATGAATGTTTTGCCTGCATATATGTAAGTGCAATACATGAATGCAATGTCTGTAGAAGCCAGAGACAGCATCAGATCCCCTGGAACTGGAGTTACAGATGGTTGTTAGCCACCACGTGGGTGCTGGGAACCAAACCCGGGTTCTCTGCAAGAGCAGTCAGTGCTTTTTAACCACTGAGCCATCTCTCCAGCTCCTAATTTCTTGTTTTGTAAGATATTGTCAAAGCCAGTAGTGGGAGCTTGTCTATGAATTTATTTTGCGTGGATAAGGCAATCCAATATATTAAGCTGACTGGTACAGTAGTGAATTAATCGATTGTCTCTGTAGGAGTTCCAATATTCATTCATTCATCCAAAAGCATTTACCAAGCACCTGCCATATGTCAGTTGTTCTAGGCACTAAGGATGAGAACATGAGTAACAGTCACTTCCTGCAAGGAGACTGTAGTCTAATGAAAGTTTGATGATCATTTATGGTCAGGGACCACAGGACCAGGAATTTAGACTGCTAGGAAGAGTCACACAGGCGAAAGGGCAGGGCTTTGCAGTTGCTGTCTGTGTTAATAAAGGCAATACTGGATTCTATAATTATACCTAAAAATGGTTTCATAGTCCAAGCCTATGAGACAGGCATTTCTTACCATATAAAGTCCAAAGTGAATAATACTCTGTCTAGTGGTAAGTCAAAGAACCCACTCTTTCTGTCTTATGATTCTGCCATCTTTAACATGCAGCTTACACTCTAGGTTACCATCCTGCAGGCAGGTAGGGGAGAACAAGGAGATGAGGGTGGGTTTGGATCACACCTAGAAGTGATGCTTACATATCCTGCTCACATTCTATCTGCTGGAATTCAGTCATGTATCCACACCTAGCCAAGACGGAAGCTTGCAATGAAATCTCAGGTTTGGGTATAGCTTAGTAGTAGGTGCTTGCTCAGTAAGGGCAAGGCTCTGGGCTTAACACCTGGTGAGAGAGAGAGAGAGAGAGAGAGACAGAGAGAGAGAGACAGAGAGAGAGACAGAGAGAGACAGAGAGAGAGAGAGAGAGACAGAGACAGAGACAGAGACAGAGAGTAATATATTCCCCAGCAGGAAAAAGAAGCAAACCTTTTACCACAATATTCAACTCTGAGATTCTCTGACTGTGGTGGTAAAACCAAAATAAGACTGGAGAGGGGAGGGCAGGGCTCTTCATTTTACTTATTTATTACATTCATTTTCTATTTAATTAATTTTATTGGCTGGGTAAAAATAATCTTATATATTTATGGTATACAACATATTTTGATATATGCATGCATTATTGAAAGGCTAAATCAGGCTAATTAGCAGATATACTCTCTCACATAATTATATTTTTTGTGAATTTTAAAATGTTCCTGTTTAAGGCCAATGTCCTGTGTTTACACTGTCTTCCTATTAAAGGTCTTCAACTCCAAATGTTGTGGCAGTCTGAATGAGAACTGTCCCCCACAGGCTCATGTATTTCAACACTTTGTACCCAGTTGGTGGTTCTGTTTGGTAGGTCATAGCCTATAGCCTTGCTGGAGGAAGAGTGTCACTGGGGCTGGCTTTGAGAGTTCATAGCCTCATCCTATTTCCAGTATGCTCGCTCATGTTTGCATTTGAACACATAAGCGCTCAGGTTTCGGTTCCTGCTGCTTGCTGCCATGCCTCCCCATCATGATGGATTCTTATCCCTCTGGAACCATAAGCATATAAAATAAACTTTTTCTTCTGTGAGTTCCTTTTGGTTATTACATTTGATCACAACAACAAAAGAGTAACTAATACAGGAGTATGTGGGGAGGGGGTTGCTTTGATTTGGGATTGAATATAGGGCCTGGAACATACTAGGTAAGTGCTCTTTCAGTAAGTTTCATCTCAAGCCTTCAAGATGTATTGTTAGGTTGAAAAAAATTAAGTAGAAAACAAAGCAAACTTTATGTATGAAAAGGGGAGTGATATCCATTTGTGTTTGTTTGCAAATATGATGAAACAAAGGAAGGACATATAAGAAACCATGGAAACCAGGATGAGGGCAGAGGAGGATGGAGGCATCAGTGGGAATGAGACCTTGTATATTCTTTTAGATACTGTCTTCTTACCTATTTATAAAAATACATAATTAAAAATATCTCATTCTGTTGCAGAAGAGTGTTCCACTGACTGACCTCTTTTTGTTTTCAAATGAAGAGCCAAGAATAACACCACTTGGGAAGGTGAACAGGACATAACTGATGAACGTGAGGTAAATGTACTGTTGAATATGGTGCCTTTCTTGTTATAACAAATCTGTACTTGGCTAATTCAAATTTTCAATAGAAAGTAAAGAACATTAATGTAGAGACTTGGAATCATATAAGTTTCTGAATGCTCTTATATTCAACATCTTTGTTGATTTTCAAAGCATTCTTGTGTTAGCTTTTCTTCACAATAACAAAATATCTAAGATAATTAACTTACAGAGAGAAAAGGTTTATTTTGGCTCATGGTTTTAAAGGTTCCAATCCATGATCAGTCGGCCCCATGTCTTGAGGCCTGTGGTGAGGTAGCACTGTGTGATAGGAGTGCATGACAGAGGAAAACTGTTCACCTCATGCCCAGGTAGCAAAGAGAAAGAAGGGACATACCCTCAGTGACCCAAGGATCACCCACTAGGCCCCATCTTGCAAAAGTTCCAGTGCCTTCCACTGGCACTACCTTGGGGAACAAGTCAGTGTCCAAACTATAGCAATCCCTTGTAACTATTAATGTTGAAATTAACTCATCATTTAAAATTTGTATTTACTTTATGTGTATCAGGGTTTTGCCTGAATATATGTAAGTGCAACACATGCATGCAGTCCCCATGGAGGCCAGAAAAGAGCATCAGAGCCCCTGAAACTGGAGTCATAGATGGTTGTTAGCATCCATGTGGGTCCTGGCAACCAAACTCAGGTCCTCCGCAAGAACAGCCAGTGCTCTAAACCACTGAGCCATCTCTCTAGCCCCTAATTTCTTGTTTTTTAAGATATTTTCAAGGCCAGGAGTGGGAGCTTATCTATGAATTCATGTTGTATGAATAATCCAATCCTTTTTATTTCTGGGTAGTATCATCATTGAAAAAATCCTTTATGCTTCAAACCATCTGCACAAGTTTTTTTCATTTAATCTTTCCATCAGCCATGCATATTAATTGGGACAGGGATTACCTCAGTTTTAGAGATGAACAAACAGTGGAGCTCATTCTAAAGAAAGTAATAAGGCCAATGAAAAACCAGGGAAAATAGGACTTTTGATATAGAAAGCACTATTGCCATTCATTGATTGAAAGGTAAATACCGCAACAGAAAAATTGGCAAAAGACATAAATGAAAAAACTCACACAAAGAGATCTTAGTAATAATCAAACTTTTAGAAAAAAACGTTTTCGGGCTGAAGAGATGGCTCAGTGGTTAAGAACACTGAATGTTCTTGCAGAAGACCCATGTTCAGATCCCAGCACCCACACAGCAGCTAACAACCGTCTGTAACTCCAGTTCCAGGGGATCCAACAGCCTCTTCTGTCCTCCTCGGGCATTGCATGACAGGGGTGCACTTTGATACATGCAGGCAATACATGCATACACATAAAATAAAAAATTTTTTAAAAATTAAAAAAAGAAAAAAACATTTTCAGCCTCAAAACAAAGATAAAAGAAAAATTATCCCAAGTATTTAAAGAGGTTCAAGTGCCATTTGACTGGGAACATTGATATGTTTCTGATAGAGATATTAGTTGGCAAAGTATTTCCACCAGTAAATATGCAAATATACTGAAACACTAAATATGACCTGTAACTTAATATCCTAATAGAAATACAGAGTAATTTATGGCAAATGACATTAATTCCAGCATTCTTCTGAGCCCATCTTTTGGATCAGATGACATAGTAAGGAAATAGGAAACCAAACTTTTGTTAAATAAAACAATAACAGCAAATCCAACCAAACAAACAAAATAACCCACCATGTTAGGGGCTGAAGAGCTGGCTTAGCGATGGCTCAGCAGTTAAGAATACTGGATGCTCTTGCAGAGGACCTGGGTTTGATTCCTAGCACCCACATGACAGCTAACAACCGTTGGTAATTCCAGTTCCAGGGGATCCAATGCCCTCTTCTGACCTCTGCAGGCACTGCATGACCTCAGTGCACTTACATGCAGGCAATAAATACACTCATAAACATAAAATAAGAAAAATAAAATATTAAAAAAAGCATGTTCAAAGGTTTATCGGAGAATATTTGTGGTTTTTTACCCAAGCTTTATCTACATAGCACATGGTAATTAAAAGTACCATACTGGTGGAACTAACCTTGTTGGATGTTTAACAGCCATATTTTGAGGCCTATACTAATCTGGTCAGAGGGACTTAAAGGACAGTTTTGCTCCTTGTCCTCCAAGGTTGACTAAGTTCCAGGGGACTATGGAATATCTCTGAAAATGTCCTGTAACTGTGGTGAGTCACCTGTCCTCTTGTTCAGGGAGGCCATGGAGACCCCACAAGATGGACTTGAACCAGTGTCCAGTCTACAAAGAGGAGGGTCAACTCAGAGGAAACATCTCATCCATGCTTCCAAGTCAAGCCAGACATTGTCGAGCAGGACCTTTGAATTATCTTCGCATAGATGGAACTGGTAAAAGAAAGGAGCCAGGAGCTCCTCCCAAGCCCATGTGACCCCTGAGGAACAGATCCTCAATTGGCTTAAGTGTAAAAATAAACTGATTTATTTGGGCCAACTATATGGTTTTAAACACCCAAAAGGAAAGTATAACCAAAGAGTAAAGTCATCAGTATATTTCTTTAAGAGTTCAAGGGATTACACTTCCCAGATATTAGGCTTAAGTCCATATAAAAAGTTATTTAGATAATTATTTCTCATTGATGATTTTGTTCCTAATCAGAAAGTGCTGCTCAGATGTAAGACTTCAAATCTTG